GGGATCGCAAGCAAGATGTACCACATGGCGTTTCTGTCGGCGATCGGTATCGTACCTCGTTTGGGATCGGGGCGTTCCGAACGTGGATCGTGACTACTTTGTCGAATCATGTGACTATAATTCGAACAAGCATAAACAATGTAAAGCGGAAATAAGTAATAATGAATAACATAAAATTTTCTATATGGAAAACCAATTGGAAAAAACCATGTGCAGTTTATGTCGGAATGCACTTCGCTATAATGTTTTTTTTTTACCATAATGGTGTTTTAAAAAAACGTATTTATCAAACAAGTATAATTTAAAAAAATATTTACCATTTAGGGTTATACCAAGTCAAAATTTAAAAAAAAAGTAATAATAATAATAAAGTAAGAACACAATCCCCCCCCCCCCCCAATCCCAACCCCCAACGTTGACATCTTCAATCGATTTCTTTTATCATCCTTTTCTACTTCGGCCATAGCCGACGCCGGCGACTCCGATATCAGCCACAAACGGACGTCGGCTAGTACACCTCCACCACAGAAGATTCTAGCAAGGACGCCTCCACTATAGAAGACAACGACAAGCATAAATCTTGTGATTCTTCTTCGACTCTAGCCACAGACGACGCCGGTGAATCCAATTCCAGCCACAACAAACTCGATTGTAGATTGATTTTCTTGTAAATCTAACTCCTCCTTTGATTTTCGACTTCAGCTAGTTAGCTTTGGATTGATTCCTACTATTATTTGCTATTGCATTCCACCTGTTATTTGCTTATTTTGCAAATTGTTATTCCATTGTCATTCCTACTCTGATTTACAATTGTAATTTGATTATTTGCAATTGTTATTCCACATTTGATTCCTACTCTGATTTACAATTGTTATTTGCTTAAACATTCATATTTTGGAATCAATTTTATGATTGAATTTATTTTTTGTTCTCGTTTTCAAGATGGAGCTTGTTGCAATGTTTTGTTATTGGGGTGGGACAACATATGATGAACCAAATCGTATAAATTATAGCAAAGCTTCAAAAAAAGCAATCAATGTTAACCGTAAAATACAATTTCATGAACTGGTCGAGTGTATATATCTTGCTACGTCTTTTGATAAACAACACCACCGCATCAACTTAATTTGTAGATATCCATCAATTGGTATTGAGAATGTTGTTAAATATATTCCTCTTCCCATTAACGATAATGATGATGTTAGCATCATGTTTGATGTGCTTCATGTCCATCAAAAAGTAAGTAACATTTATCTCTATTTAGAGGTTGAAAACATTTATCAAATTCGACACATAGAAATTGAGTCTAGGTATAAAAATTTGTGGTTTACATGATTTACAAGTTTCTACTTATTTTAGATGTGATAACTTACTTTGTAATATTTGTAGCATAAATCATGAACTGGTTGTGCTAGAAGAGCAAAGGAACAATGAGTTACTATTACCTAATATGATCGATGCTACTGTCATATCAAATATGATTCGTATTGAAGATTTCTACACAATTTCTCAAGTTGTTATTATGAGTAATGGAATGACATTGGAGAAGATTATGATAAGCAAGATGGAGTTGACATCACTCAAGAACATGAACCACCACATGTAGATAAGGGTGAAGCATCTTTTGACAACAACTATCAAGTACCATCAAGAGGAAACAAATGTGATTAGTGATGGTAATTGGATCGCATCACAATCAATGAGCAAGAATGATTTTACATGGGAGATGGAAAAAGATTCTTTCAAGGATGAAGAAGAACTTACGAGAGCTATCAAGCTCAAATACATTAAGACACATAGACAGTTTGAGATTATTGATACATGCCCAACTCTATGGAGCATAAGAAGCAAGTTGCATTTACAATCTAGTTGTAAATGACAACTTCATGCAAATAAATGAAAATGAAGTTGAAATTTTGAAATTACAAAATACATTGGTCTACATTATTGTTTTTGTTTGAAATCATTATTGGATTTGTACCCAAAAAATATATCTTACGTTTGATGTTGGTTTTAATCTACGATGTCTAACATTATTGTTTATCAATTAATTTATTTACAATTTAGGACATTTATTGAGATTTAATTAATTTGTAATGATGATTAAATGAGATATAATATATTTGTAATTTTTTATATAAGTTAATATCAAAGGGTTAAAAGAAGGTCAAAAATTATACTAAAAAACATAAAAATTTAAAAACAATAGCTAAAAATATTAGAAAAGTTAAAAAAAAAATTATTTTGGTAAATTTTTTAACTAATATACTGTTTTGATAAATATATTTGAAACTGCACCTATTTATTAAATATATTTTTTTCATCAATAACTCTTATTAAAACAAAAAAACTAATCTTGTATTTATTGAAAGGTTTTGGCATCCACTTATATAAGTCAAACTAATAACATCTCCAATAGTCAAAACTAATGACTAAAAAAATTGTCACTCATTACATTAACTTTAACGTCAAATTAAATAATTTTTGAATAATTAACTTCTTCCAATATTTTTTTAAAAAGAAATTAACTAATCTATTGTCATCTGTCTGAAATGTTCTCGAAAACCTATTTATTTAATTAGTCATTTTTAAGCGTACATTTTATCTAAATGTCACAAACAAATAAAATACAAATATAATATGTCGTGTCATTATATATATATATATATATATATATATATATATATATATATATATATATATAAAAGAATAAATATTTAAAACCAAAATTTAATTAAAGGTGTAAAATAAAATATGATTAAAGAATTGGATGTGAGATGTACTAAGCATAAAAATATATTAACCGTTTAATATTTATTTAATGATCAATAAAAATAAACAAATAAGTTATGTGTTCTAATGGTTTTAAGCGATCAATATATTAAATTTAAAAATAAATAATAATAATAATAATAATAATAATAATAATAATAATAACTATTATTGATAATACTTTTAGAGCATCTTCAATGCAGCTTTCTTTTGAAGCTTATTATTATAGATTTTTTTTTTCTTAACTACTTAATACCATTGGACTATATAGCTTTTTTTTTTATCCAGGGATCAATATACTTTCATAATGTGTATATCTAACCCCTTCTACTATCATCATCTTTCATTTAACCTTTTATTATAATCTAGTTTTAAATACTTTTTACTTCTTTACTAATTAATCATTCATATTAAGGATTTAATGATGTCCCATTTATAAAATATAAATGTTATAACCATAGTATAATATTTTCAATGTTTTGTTACCTTTTAATTCTAACATAATAATTTTTCGCATTTTATGTATATAAATATAGAACCAATACAATTGTATTTATATGTTCGTATTAAAATATGAATTGTATATAAAAACTAACTAATTAAATGAGGTCAAGATTATTGGAATGATAGGTATCACTTATTTTGAATCATATCATCATGTAACCATTGAAGCATCTGTAAGACTTAAAAAATAATGTTTTACCTATAAAAAAAAAAAATCCTAAATCTTATAAGGTTATAACTTCCGACTATGAGTTGAATTGTTGGAGATATGTGACCTTGACTCCTAACTTTGAAAAACACCAACTTATCCTTAATGATTCGTGACTCTACTTAGAAAAATCAATAGAAACTATAGTAATAGAAATAACTTTCCGATAACAAGTGCATCTCCCACCAAGAACCTCTTGGCTCACTTGTGTTCGTCAACATTCACCAAGTTCAAACATACATCGGATTTGGATATTGGAAGACCTTTAGTAAATATATCATATGTATTTTCATTTCCGTTGATCGTGCTTATAATAAAATTCCCTTTAACATTTGATCATCGGGTAGAAAAATTGTGCTTTGATTGTCGCAAAACACCATATTGATCCTTGACGTTTTATTAGGCTCTCTAACCATCCCATTCAACCAAATAGCTTTTTTAAGTTCACTATAACCATATATTCGGCTTCAATTATGGATAACGTAACTATAGATTACAAATGTTTTTTCCAACTAGAGAACATGCACTAGACTTTTCCATAATTTTGTGGTTCATTCTTTCAGCCATGTCATCCTACTAAGGTGTATAAGTAACTTTGGGATGACATGTAATTCCCTCCTTTACAGTAATATGTCTTGAACTCATCTAAAGACAATTCTAGTACGTCGTCTATATGAAGATATTTTACCTCCAAACTAGATTGTTTTACAGCCAATACTTTCTAGTTTTTAGAAATTGAAAACGCTTCTCCCTTGTGTTTTAAGAAAAATGCCCGGACTTTCCTAGAGAAATCGTCAATAATATTGAAACTTGTTTTACATTTTTCTATATAACGTTCTACAGTTATAACTTTTTAAACATTTTTTACGCTCTCATGCAATTTTAATACAACATACTTTTTTAAGAAAAGTGTTTTGGAGGTGTTTTAAAAAAATGACAATTTTTTTATACGTTTTAACTAGAAATGTATAAAAGTCTTCTATAATTTTTTATTACAGCGTTTTAAATTTGATTTATATATTTTAAAGCTTTTTCTACATTTTCATACAACTTTCTTTTACGTGATTATTTTTAAATGTTATATTAAAAAAAAGTTATAAAAATCCTTAAAACGTTTTAAAATGTTGTAATGAAAAGTTTAGAAAGAATTATATGATGAAAGTTATAAAAAAAATAATAATAAAAATAAAAATTAAAAAAAAAAAAAAAAAAAAAAAAAGTATATGAAAATGCAAAAAGAAAAAAAAAAATAAAAAGTTATAATAAAAGTTAAAATTTTTTTTTTCTAAACTTAAACTTTGTTTAAAAAGAATTACATGAGTTCCTTACCTTGTTTAAAAAGTAAAATACATTCCTTAGCAACATAAAAACATTTTGAAAAGTTTCTTTCCAAATTTCATTGATAACCCAAAGTAATTAACTGGTTAAATTATAAAATTTACGTTCATGTATATTCCAGTCAAAAAGTTGATCATGTCCATACTTGATACCACTCGATCACTTCGTTTTCCAACCAACACATCAAACACTCCTCATGGTAACAAATAATTATCCAAGAAAAAAAAAAAAAAAAAAGTCTCCTACGACCAATACCGACTCTCAGAAGGCATCCTTTCCGACCGCTGTCGAAAACCACCACCAGCCGCCTGGTGGAACAGAACCCTATCAGCACTAACAGGGCGCTGATGTGGCAGATCTCTTTCCCATATATGGTGGAGGAAATTCAACATTGATCTTTCCGTTTCCTGGAACCCTCTTCCAGTAGATGAACCTGAGTAATAGACCCCACCACCAACACCACCATGTGTCCGGTCAGACACTTGGACTTGACCGTTTGACCGTTGTGGTTGCTGAAAATAGGCGTGGGACTGTCCACCACTGCCCGTGCCCGGGTAACCACGGTTCATTGATGAGCTGGCAGGTCTAGTTCCAGAACTACTGCACAAACCACAGGAGGAAATATTACTTATTATCATACAAATAAGACTAAATTACAAAAACGGTCCCTGAGTTTCATGATTGTTTGCAATATTGGGACCTAAACTTTTCTTTTTGCAATTTCAGTTCTGGTCTGGTGGTTATTAATTTGAACTACCCTAACTGAAATGACTATTTTACCCTTTATCTAACTTTTTATTTTCATATTTACATTAAAAATCGATTTGAGATCATGAAACTCAGGGGGGGGGACTGTTTTTGTAAGTTAGTCTGCAAAGGAAAAAGATAATATAGAGTGGTTTGTTTGATTGTTTGTTTACCTTTGGGCAGCAAGAAACGGATGTGGATAAGATCCTGATGGTGACACTGACAAGTCAGCATTAGCCCTTTGCCTACGTGGCATAGAGATGGAGGGATGTTGAAGATCATCATCATGTATACGGGTGGTTAGTGTTGGAAAGAGGGTTGTGTGATAATGGAGAGGATATGAATTTGGGGTTTCACTTGAAGCTGATTGGGTGTTCCATTGATTATTATTACTATCAAATCTTGCTCCTTGTTGTGTCACATTTTCAGTGGAGGGGTGAACATAAGCAATATATGGACAAATGTGAGTAGCTGAAGATGATACACTTGTTGCATGTTCACTACCAATATCATGATCTGCCCAAGAAATAGCAATTTGTTTATTTCATTTTCATAAAATGAAAGTGTGTTGATTTTTGTTGCATTAAACCCTAAAATAAGTAAAGTCAAGATCTTACACGCAGTGGTTGGAAACTCCACTTCACTGCAGAAAAAAGTGCAGAAAATTTAGTTGCTAGAAAGAATTAAAGGTTCATATTTCATAACAAGTGTAAAAGCATTTGTGCTTACTCAAAAGCAGCAGAAAGGTGTGCATATCCACCATATGGGCACCACATGGACTACCAAAAAGAAGAGTTAATCAGTGATTTAAAAGACTGGATTGGAGAAAGAAGATGAATATATATATATATATATATATATATATATATATATATATATATATATATATATATATATATATAAAAGAGATAAAGATGTTACGGATTCAGAGTAACTGAGATCATAAAGATCTTCATCATTGACTAAGTCATCGATGTTTAACTCAGGATATGGTCGCCCACCATCTGCATAAAGCCATTGACCTTTCTCAATTTTTCTACAGTTGGGACACTGCATCACTCCCTTCACATTAAATGCAGAACCAATGCAATCTGTAGCCAAAAACAAAAGTGAATCATATAGGAGTTCCCTGAGTTTAGCATTAGTTACAATGTGATTAAAAGAACAAAAACCTAACTCACATCATGAAGTGGAAAACCCCAAGGCATGTGGAAGTAATGAGTTATTAATCTAGAGAGGTGAAGAAAATCTAAATACTTAGGCTTTCTATTTGTACACATTGAGTATATGTGGTGTTGTAACCCCAAATTGGGAGTTATGAGTAATTTGCCTGGTTTATGTGGTGAAAACAATAAACCGCTACATAAGAATGGTATTTAGAGTATATAATGTTGTCATCAACAACAATCAAGTTGACTTTCCTGTAAGGAATCGAATTCATAGAAAAAACGCAATTTCTATATCCCCCCCCCCCCCCCCCCCTATGTGTGTGTACCAGAAAGCTCAAGATCGAAATCTAGCATAAGGGGTTGGTGTAATCAAGCAGAAAAAGCTAAGATCAAAAACTAATTGCTGAAAACAAATATATGTTGGTGCGACTGAACTTTATAGGAGATGAAATTGCAAGCAAGTAGTTGACTTGTCAACGATCAAAAACAAAAGAATAAGTCTGTTACCGAGATGGAATTGATGACCACAATGGAGCTTCGCCCAAGCACGATCCCCGTAATCAGTAACATCGTCCAGGCAAATCGAACATGGAATGGAGGAACCTGTTTTGCCTCCTTCAGCAGCAGCAGCATACCCATCGTCTTCCAACCCCATACGATGTATGCCCAAACCCTACTTTGTCTGATAATTCTTTTCGTTTTAAACAATTTTTTATTTTAATTATTTTATTAAAAACAATCCTTTTTAATTACCAAATTAGATAAAATTAACATATCTTAGTTATCATCGTATGAGATGTCAAACAGATATTAAATTGTGTCGCTAAGTTTTTTGATATTTTTTTTTGAAGACTATCGTAACATCCGTGTTTTTAGGTTAAGCGATGATGTAATAGTTAGTGTCAACAATTATAGCTTATTTGACGTAATAAATAAGAATTATTTGAATATTATGTGTTTCATGATTATTATAATATAATAAAATAGGAAAAATTAGTCGAATCGTCCATAAATCGTAAAAATAAGTGCACCAAAATATATATATATATATATATATATATATATATATATATGTGTGTGTGTGTGTGTATGTGTGTGTATTATTAAATATTTAGAAAGTACACGTCTTCCCGATCCCGAAAATATAAATTTCATAGAAATCTGAATCCGTATAAATTAGATGATTTTTATAAGATATAAAAATCAGCCGCACACAAGGAATGTATAACGTAAAAAGCTACGAAGAGAATAATTAACTTTTAGCTAATACGACCAAAATGAAAATCGTAGTACTCCTTAAAATAGGAATTTTGAGAAAAATAATGCCAAAAAGGAGTCCGTATGAGATAGTTATGATTTTAGCAAAATCATTTAATTTTATAAAAATAGGGACAAAAATATAAATTCAAAACTAGCCGACGGAGTCTAAGCGAAAGTTGTAGATCTCGTCGATAGCTACGCGTAGATATAAAGAACGTTAAAAACGGAGTTCGTATGAACGAGTTATAATTTTTAATAGCATATTTACGTATTAAAATAAAGTATAAACCATACATACGTGCATATATATATATATATATATATATATATATATATATATATATATATATATATATATATATATATATATATATATATCATCAGAAATGTATTGACGATGAGGTCGTTATAATACTAATGTTGAGTACTTTCGATATTAGTTTACTACAAATATCATTAAATCAATTTAAAATAGTATTATAAAGGGGTGTTTAGTCATTTAAGTATATATAGATGATAGCTTTTGAAAATTCAATTACTATAAATAAGAGCCTCTAGTCTCTCATATTTTTTGCACCATTCTTTTGATTCAAGAGTCTTTCTCTTCTTATCCCCCGAGCATTTCGGTCCCTCGTGATTCGACTTCTCTTTCTATAGTTTTTAGTATAGTAAGGTGAGCGTTGAAGCGCTGCAATAATCTTTCTTAGAAAGATTTAGCGATGAAGTTCTTCCCCTGCAGAGTCCGACTCCTAGCTAAAACTCCCTTGTAAGTAAGTTATGTTAACCTATTTTAAATATAACTTATAATAAATATTTGGGCTATTATTATGACTTGTATAAGTGTTGTTATAATATCTTTTTAACTACTCACGTACGGGGTATCTGGTTTAAAGGGTTGCATAGGGTTGTTGGATTTCAGAAGTGCTATATGTCAAAATGGTCCTGCCCTCCTATGTTTTATGTCTGGCCTCTGTCTGTACATAGTGGTTGAAAAATATTGTTTAAACGCTTATATAATAATATATTGCTAAGACTAATAATTAGTCACGATAAATATTAAACTAAACTCTAGTGGTGATAATACTAGGTTTCGTCGAATGAAATTATATTGTTAAAAGCAAAGCGTTGCCCGAGTATGGAATCATCACTTTATCAAGTGAGTGCGTAGTTACTTTCATCTTACACATAGATATGAAATATTTTATATAAATTACATGTTATGTGTCCATATTGTCTGAATATTTGTTGTCTATGCTGAATGAAAGATTTTATACATGTTTTAAATGATTTAAATTGTATATGTATTTTATATCTACAAAATGTGTTGAGTAAAACATGGGTAGATGTAATAGTTGGGCGTGATGAAATAAAATGACGAGAGGCCTCGATGTTGAAGATGTTTCCAGACATCTAGCGAAGTATAAATGACGATCATTGACTTTTCTACACAGTCTAGTGGAACGCTAGTAGACTCGCAACATGTAGGTGTTTGTGAACGATGTGTTCATCGGTGTACTCCATCCCCCTCATTGTTGCCTTTAGGACATTTATTGTTGAGGAACCCCCTTAGTAGTAGTGTCCATCCTGATGATAATCCTTAGGCTAGGTCCCTTATAATAGGTGTTTACGGACGTAAAGTAAGGATAACGGGAATGGGTAATTGGTTATTGTTGGTTGATGAAAATAATAAACTTATGTATTATGGGTGCAAAACCCTATGTGCTCACCAGGCTCCCAAGCCTGACCCACTTACTTTCTTGTATTACAGGTAGTGGCACAAGAGCATAGTTGGATGACTTGATGAGGGATTATGGATTATAGGCCAATAGATATAAATAAATGTTGTAAGGCTTATAATGCTTTTGATCTGTATCGAACATGACATCCAGAGGTTTTAATATAATGAAATATATTTCTTCGGAAATGCTTTGATAAATCTTTATCATATTTTCTTTTGGGAACAAATTCTGCAACACTTTTCTTTAAAATGTTACTCTGATTTTCAAACAAAGCATAAAACAAACCTGTCTTTTCTGACCGTGAAAATGGGGATGTCACAGTTAGTATCAGAGCATTAGTTTAAGTGAACTAGAAATTTCTAGGATTTCTAGACTTAAACTTAGAATGTTAAGCGATGATTGTGAGATGAGTTTCTACTATATTTTAGACACGAGCACTAGTTTATTTTAGGACAGATGCCTAAAATGCTTTTATGTACTAAATGCCTTATGGTATAGCAGTAAGAATGCCTTATATGGTATTATTTGTTCGGATCTACGATCTGTTGCCGACCAAATCTGGAAACTTTATCTGTTCAGATTTCTATTCGTTCGACTACAATATTAGAACTGACATGTAACCTTTCGGAGTGACAAGTTTAAACGTCTATCATAAATAAAACTTTCCCTATCTTAATATTCTCGTCTCAAACTACTACTTGGAGCCTACTGAACTCTCAAAGATAAAGAGGTTTGCTAACGGATTGTCAGCGGACTTTGGCCCAATGGTCAAAATGGCAACTACTTTGAAGACAACCATTAGAGCAGCCAAAAATGTAGCGAACTAGTTAATGGAGAAAGGTCTGGAGAGATCTGAGGTCGGAGAGAAAAGGAAGTTTGATGGATCTTCAAGGTCCAACAAGAAAAGCAAATTATCAAATTCTAGTTCTAAGAAACTCGGAGGAAGAGGAGATGAAGCGAAGTGGTGCAAAAAGTGCAAGAAGAAGCACCATGGGAAATGTGATGGAGAGGTCACTTGTTTTAAGAGTTAGTGCAGGTTCTTATCAAGACAAATACTTCACACAATTGGTTTTAGTTGATCTTTGTCTTATCCAAGACATCACAACTTACCAATTTCAAATATACAGGAATAAGAAGACAATTTCTAGTCCATATTTGATGAGTGTGTTATAAACCATGTTTAAGATGTGCCACTTAAGTCACAATCTTGGAGTTCAACTCTAAGATTTGATTTTGGAACGAAGTATAATTCACCTTTTGATTTAACCATTCCAACAATTTCCAATTCCTCTTCTTAGCCATACTAGTGAACTAAGGTGTCCTTAAAGGATCAATTGTGACACTAAGTTAATCATAAAACACGATACTGAAGTACTCTCCCTTCTTTTCAGTTTGGAGAAACTTTTATCTTTCTTCCTAATTGATTCTTCCTATTCGTTCTGCCATACATTGAAACTTTTCAATGATTCAGAATTACACTTAATCTTGTAAGCATAACCATGTTTACTAAAATTTTAGCAAATCATGACGAATATTCTTATCATTCTTTGTGGTGGACTTGACCTAGTGTACAACAATGCGTACTAGATCTCCTAGTCCTTCACTTGACTCACATACTTATGTGAACAAGTAATTAGTCTTAATTTTCCAAATACAAAGTTCTCATTCATCATACAATACAAGTTGCATGATTCCAAGTTTTTGTCCAATTGAACCTTGGGTGATGAGAATCTTCCTTATTTGTAAATTTATGACATTACCACAAACAACATAACTAAGAATCACATCCAATTTCAGTATTTCTAACAATAGAAACATACAAACATCAATTTTCACAAAAGTCATTGCAAGGATATATATAAATAAGAGAAAAATAAAATTTTATTTTATTTATAAAAACACAGAAAAACTTGTCCTTACAACGCAATTACAAATGAAAACTATGTTACTAAATATTTCTAACCAATCTATCCTAACAACAGCTCAAAAATCCGATCTTCGAACCATGCGATCGAAATCCATTTCATCGTGATCAGACTCAGCTCACTCTTCCTTTAAGCTTCCTTTCTTTTCTTCGATCCTACAAAACATCAAAATGCAATCTTATCACATCATGTATTAAGAATCTACAAATAGGAACGTAATAGAGTTAGATAGTGAATTTTACCTAAGGTAGAGCCATACATCTTGACTCTCCCATCTTTGCAATCATTCAGGTAGATAAGATAGCTTCGCATCCAATGCCCCTTCTCGTGGCAGTAGAAACAAATGAACTTTTTTGGAACAGCACATGGGATAATCTCAAATTCAGCCTTTCTCTTTACCATTCGGTCAAACGGTTTAACCTTGGCCAATCCCTTTCCTTTGGGAAGAGAAGATCTGGACTTCCAATGTTGCCATCATCAATATCCATGGAAGTTTGGGAAGTTGACTTACCAGTCAAATTTGCTTTACCAGTGTGCCAAATCATTGTTGATTCAGCATCAATTATCAAATAGGTAAGATCAATGAGGGTCACGTTGTGGTCCATCATATAGTAATCTTTAATGAACTCACCATATGATTCGGGAAGTGCTTGAAGAACCAAATCAACAACCAATTTCCTTGAGACATCAACACCCAACATTCCCAACTTGTCAATATATGACTTTATCTCCAAGACGTGAGCACATATAGACTTTCCATCTTTGTGTTTGCTTGCCAATAGGGCCTGA